TGTCCCCTATTCCTTTGCTGACCTGGTTGGTACAGTAAATGTCGAATGTTTCAGCCGTGACAACAGAGATACCTACACTTTCTGAGGGTGTGCATTTTCCCCTTGGTAGTGGGACGCGGATGCGGCCATTGAAGTGGCACCTATCAGGAGCCTGAAACAAGCTACTACCCTTCGGGACACAAGTGAAACCTCAACTCTGCACCATCTGGTTTTCAAGCCCAGGCAGGTCCCCACTGGGAACTCTGCAATTGATCTTGTCATAGGCAATAAGCAGGGAGTACCCGAGACGTGTCAAGAGGGTATTATTTTTGAAAAAATATTTGATGAGGAAATGCTCTTAGCGATCCACAGAAATCAGCTTATAGAAAACTTCAAAGCAAGTCATCAAATTCTCTATAGACAGCAGGGGTTTAAAGTGGAATTTCCTTGGGGAACCTCCGGGACAGTGGTTCCATCAAACCGCCTTCTCACGTGGTAACCCCACGCACCCTGGGTGGCCCTCGTTTCGGGCCCGCCTTCCCCACCAGAACGTACACACCACGAAGACAGGGATCGTCTGCCACCTTTAACCACCATGCCCTTTAATACATTGCATGGTACTCAGGGCAGAAGACACATTTAACATCTGCAGAATGGACTATCCAAAGGAATTAAGAGAAACGGTCACTATTTCTTTCTTCTGTTCTTCTTGCCCTCACTTCTCCCAGACTATTTTCAGCTCAGCATCACAGCGACACCACCAGGGACAGGGCTCAGTCCCTGTGATAAGGGACCCAAGCGTATCAGGAGGCATGCGAATTCCAGCCAGGGCTGGCTGAGTTGGTCACATTCCTTCAAGTATGGGAACCAGAAACCCATGAGAGTGACCTCGGGCACAGACGGGCTTGTCCCGGAAGAGACGGAGCACCTCTTGAACTCAAAGAAAGAAGCACCCCCAGGTTGCTGGGAGTCGGGAGGATGAGGAGGGAGACCTTTGGCATCGCTTGTGTAGGATTCTCTCCCTCTGAGCCTAGTGGGACACTAGCACTGAACACTAGCATCTCCTACAAATTCCCAATTCCTTCGTATATCAGATCGGCTCAGGGGCAAACAGTCTTAACCAGGCAAGTCCCGTTTCTCCCGGCTCCCCCCCCACAGCGGACACAAGAATGCCTCTGAAAAGACAAGGTATGAAAACACCCCAAAGCAGTGTTTGTGATCTTTTAAAAAACATCATTTTTTAAAAACCCTCACTTGAAAATTTGTTTATTGATTTGAGAGAGAGCGGAAGGGAGGAAGGGAAAAAGGGAGGGGGAGAGAGAGAGAAAAGCATCAATATGAGAGAGAGAGACATCAATCAATTGCCTCTTGAATGCATCCCGACCAGGAATTAAACCCACAAGCCAGGCATGTGCCCTGACCAGGGATCAAACCCGCCACCTCTTGGTGGAGGGACGACGCTCCAAGCAGCTGAGCCCCTGGGCCCGGGCAGCAGCGGGTGTGTTTCTGATCGTGATGTGTTTGCTCCTCATCTTTCTTTCGTCTCCCACTCCTTCAAGTTTGCTCAGCGTTTTAGGCTCACTCCCTGCCCTCAAACTTCGCCTTCCTCTTCACTCTTGCTCATCTAGTGCCTTCCGTTTTCTTCCCTGCGTTAAACTTCAATGCTTCTCAATGCTACACCACATTAGTATCCTACTCAGAACATGACAAATACTATATTTAGAAGGTGTTTTAACGGACAAAATCAACAAATAAGCCATTATTATATGTACAAGATGTTTTGTTTTCTTCAAGATTTGGAATACTATTTATTGTATGTGACTGCAAACACACAATGTGGCCACATCCGCCTTGTGGTCACCGTACTGTAACCTCTAGACATACTGTACTTTTCCCTTATTTTGTGACTAATACCACATGACTGTGATTTAAGGATCATATTGACTAACCTCTTAACAAGGCATCTTTCAAAAGAAAGGAATGCAAAGCAACCCTTGGGACATTCAAAGCTACTTCAGGTTTTCTAGATGCCTGAAAATGTTGCACATTCCCTTTCACAACAAGATCCCGCCTCTCTCGAGTTAAAGCTTCAATTTTTGCTCAGAAATGAGTGACTTCATCAGCTTAACGCGTATGAGTCCTACGAGCATAAAAGCAAATCTCTGGCCAATTGTGAAAACCAGGCCTTTTTTTCTTTTACCTTTCCATGGTAACAGAACCATCCGACAATAAAAGATGATAGAAATCACGCACACCTTGTTCATCTGCCAATCCTGGCCCCTGATTTGATGGCCGGTGTATACAGTGGGTGTGTGCTAGACGTTTGATAGATCAGAACGTGTACTTCCATGTATTTACACATCAACATTATGGGTACATGAGGCTCCAGGGGGGTCCAGCCTTTTGGCGTCTCTGGGCCACACTGGAAGAAGAAGGGTTGTCTTGGGCCATGCATTAAATACATCGCGGCACGTAATCACAAAAACATCTCATAATGTTTTAAGTAAATTTACGATTTTGTGTTGGGCCGCGTTCACAGCCACCTGGGCTGCGTGTGGCCATAGGCGGTGCGTTGGACATCCCTACACATGAGTTCACATAAACATGTATAAATTGCCACAAGACAATCTTCTCAAACTATAAGGTGTATTCAGATTGCCTAGGGATCTTTTTAAAATGCAAATTCTGATTAGGAAGCTCAAGAGTGAAGCCCAATATTTGCATTTCTAGTAAGTTCTCAGGTGGACCACAGGCCACATTTTAGCAAGGTAATCCCTTTTCATTCCCCTTAGGATGCCACAGGCAAAGTATACAAACAATTAGGGGGTTGTTCTTCTCAAAGACTGTGCTCAGGCATCAGGAAAATTATGCTGATGTTCCAAGGAAATCATGACCAGATTCCAGACGTCACTAAGTATTTGTTTATTGACATTGGTGCCAGGTGCAGCAACGACAGCCACCTTCTTGCCATTCTTGCCTACAGCTTCACGATGATGAAAACGCAGCTCGAGGCTTCTCTGTATTCTCAGGGAAATAAATAACGCCAGGGACTGACACCTAAATGTGCAGGGATGTCCCTACAGGGAAGTGGTGGGTGAGCTCCTGCTCAGGACACTATTAACACTCACCTCAAGGAGCTCCCCCGCTCCTCATCCCCAAGCCCACCTCATTCTGCCCCCTGCACCCCTCTGCTGCCTTCCCCGTCCTGGAGGTGACCGGCCTCGGGGGTCAACTTTAGCTTTGTGGATGACAGACCTTCCCCATCTCTTTCAGTGTGAGATGTTGTGACAAACTGGATGAAAAAGCAAGACCGTAGATCAGACTGGTTCAAACCATTTAAAGATCTGGGGGAAAATCAATCCGAGAATCCCTTGCCCTTTCCAAGCCCCCGAGACCACCACAGCTTGAAGGGAAAGTGCACCTCGGGCCTTTCCCATGTAATGGTGTCTGCTGGAAGCACAACAGTTAAGAGTAGTTAAGGGGCAAATGTAAGTGCTCAGAATTGGAAGAAATTTCTTCTTCGCTAACGTGAGGGTGAGCACTTGGTTTAGCTCTGTGGTTATCGCACACAATTCTAAGGACACACAAAACCTCAAAGATAATTGGAAAATCACAGAAAGCCATTATATCCTTAATTATTCATCTGTTCATAAACAGGCAAATCGTTGCTTCTGTTATTAAAATATTCTTTTGCCAGAGTCATCAACTGGATCCCATCTACGACTCAGCATCAATGTATTTTGGTCCCACACTACAGCGTGTATAACCAAGCTGGGGACTTGTGTCAAGGGAACCGCTGCCCAGACAGCAGGCCAGAGGGTACACAGCCCCAAACAATGAACCTGAGAGGCTTTTCTAGAAGGTCAATTTTAGTTACGATTTGAAGGAAGGGGAATAAGGAAAACATTTATGTATTTATTTTTAATAGGGAATGGTTTACAATTTTATTTTACTTTTTAAGATTTTATTTATTTATTTTTAGAGAGGGAGGAAGGGAGGGAGGAAGGGAAACATCAATGCGTGGTTGCCTCTCGCACACCCTCTACGGGGGACCTGGTCCGCATCCCAAGCCTGTGCTCTGACTGGGAATCAACCTGATGACCCTTTGGTTCACAGGCAGGCACTCAGTCCATTGAGCCACACAATTTATAATTAAATTATAAACATAATTGTAAGTTATAATCAACAAATTATAATTTATTAATTTATAAATATCAATAAGTTATTTATTAATAAATGAAATTAGTTGCTAATAACTTTCTATTATTAGTAAATATTCAAAAAATTACTAAAATAACTAATAAGGAATTTAAACAATTATTTTATACCTAAAATACATGCAACAGGATGCCCAAACTTCACTAATTTTAACAAAACACTAGGCAGAAAAGAAAGTCCCTATTTGGGGAGCTGGTTCTTCTCTCCATATAGGGGAACTTCTGCCATGTAAGAATCTGAGAACCAGTCATATCTTTTTTTTTTACAGCATATTTGTAAGATTTTCTATTTATCAGTGCGAGGACATATTTCTCAAGTAAGATCTTAGGGAAATGAGGTTGACTTACATTTAGAATCTTTTCATCCTCACGAATCCTTTAGAGAACTAAATGTTCAATATGAAAGTCTTGAATTTGAATAAGTAACATAATACCAATGCAAGAACAATTTACTTCATAAATGTGGTCACTGGACATCATTTTAAATTGTCTAAGGAAGAGCGTCCCCAAAAAAGTTCAACAGGAAGTCCGAAAACGGAGGGAGACGGCTGTCACCGGAGGCCTGCGGCTGCAGTCCTTCCCCCCTCAGCGAGGCATGCACGGTCACGTTTCAGAACCCACTTCTCGTGTTACACACTGAGAGCTTTAGAAAACCTAAAACGATTCACTATGGTGCTTTCCGTTACGATGGCGCTCCTGGCCCTGGGGCATGCCTACGCGAGAAGGAAATGCAGAGGAGGCAACTCAGAAGGAAGGGAGTTGGGGTCGATGTCTGGCTTTTAAGGCAGAAATCCGGATACTTACAAGGCATCACGTGGTATATGCTTGGCCAGTATTGTCCACTGTCTCTCTTTAGCCATACTCGAACTGTCCTGCAACACAAGAAAATAAGCTTCTTAATTATACACATATACGTGTGTTTATATGTAACATATCTTAAGTACACAGAATATATTAACTACATATGTAAAATATATATACACAAAGATACGCATGTATACTACCTATGCCTCCTAAAGATCCTAAATTTAAGGCTTGTACACATTAAGAATTACACGCGACTCTTTAAATATGATCCTCATATGTCTGTACACACACATGTAACTGTGATAGTGTTTGAATTTATTCATCTTTCTGCTATTGGCTGGCCTCTCCATGCATATGATTTTCTCGCCCTCGTCTGCCGGAAGCATTCGCCGGCCTAGGGAGCTGTCACGTTTCACTATGGAAAGAAGCGGAGACGTGAGGAAGCAGCGTGCAGCATCTGACACACAGAGAAGCACTGGAGAGTAAATCCACAGTCTCATGGGCCAGGCCGGGCCATGCCTGCAGGGACAGTTCTCCCAAGCATGGTCAGGCGGCCATAAGCTCTGGGAATCCTGTTTCCTGAGCTGAAGGGCCAGCCACGGGGTGCGCCACACAACAGCGTGAACCCGCAGCGAAGGATGCGAACGACGCTCCAGGCCCGAGGCCCACAGAGAGCTCGGAGGAGGAGGGGAAGAATGAGAGACGTGGTCGGGGAGTGGCCGTTAGGCTCTGACCAGTCGTCCAGGCCCTGTGTGAGTGCCACCAGCCGTGACACCCTGTGCACAAGCCAGCAAGGCAAGCACGACCAGGAGGTGCCGGGACACTGCCTGCAGACCAGAGGAAGTGGCAGGCAGCCAGCCAAGGAAAATGGGCAGCTCCCCACTGCTAGGAGGCCAGGTCTGCCACTCCCTCCCCCCACACCCTAAAGCACCCCAGGATGAAAGGCAAAGATGGGGCTTTTACCTCTGAGATCCCGACACCACCTGAACAGGCTACTTCCATCGTCACACTAGACTGCGATTTCAATAGTACCAGATTTTCTTCCCACCCAATCAGTAGGTCACCCATAACAAGTATTAGTTAGAAGACTAATTACAGACAAAATAAATGCCATTTTCTCTGCAGAGCCACAAGATACAGCGACTGTACAGTGACACCACATACACATGCAAAGTTCTGTCCTGGGTCAATTACCCTAATTTGTGAGATGGACGGCGTAATGGTAAACAATTTGTAAGAAGTCACTCAATGCATATGATATACACATCAGTCCTCACTTAAATTCTTTCTACAATATCTGCCAGTACACTTTAGTGTGGAGATCAATACCTCAACAAGAATAACTCCAGGAGTGGGGCAGAGTGGGAGGCCCCAGGAACCAGTCCCTATACCAGATCAACTACTGGGCTGGAAGGAACCGTCAGAATCGCCATTTCAAACCTCTGCCATCCAGTTAGACACTTGTCCCGTGCAAGGAAATATGCCTGATGAAGAAAGAGGCTGGTGTGTGTTGGTGCACCTCACACTCTGCTAGCAGCTGACTGCACACATGTGCCCTGTGGCAGGCAGTGGTGGGGGTGGTGGGGGCCCTTGCTCACAGGGTGGCGTGCTGGGGTCAAGGTGGGGACCCTGCCCTCCAAAGTGTGGGGAGTGTGGTTTGGTCAGCCTGGCAGTTCACTAAAAGACCAGAAAAGAGACTGGCCATTGTTCTCATCTCCTACGACTACAGGGCACCAGGCAACGTCTGCTGGAAGAATTTAAGGAGACAGAGGACGTTTTTTCCTTTAATCCAGGCATTAAAAGAAGAAATCACTGGTTGTTCTCAGAGATGACAGAGCAGAGGATTCAATGGTAACCTATGACAAGAAATCAGTCATTGAAAATATAGTTGAAAAATGCTAAACAGATAGCTGAAGCATGCTCTGTAGAGGAGATAATTTGTGGTTTTCAGATTTACTGCATTACGATATTTAAAATATCCAGTTCTCAAAAGCAAAAAAAAAAAAAAAAATCACACAGTATACAAAGCAACAGGAAATGGCCCATTTGCAGGAAAAAAAATAAAAAAGAGAGTGACAGAAATCATCAGTATAGAAGTCCAAACATTGGCCTTACTAAACAAAAACTTTAACTGTCTAGATACATTCAAAGAGTTGAAAGGAATGACAAAGAACTAAAGAAATTCAGGACAAGCATTTATGAACAAGTAGAGAATATGCATAGAGAGATAAAAAATTTTACAAGGGAATCAAATAGAAATTCTGGCGCTGAAAAGTACAACAGAGGAAATGAAAAATTCACGAGAGAGTCTCAACAGCAGATCTGAGAGAGAGAAAAACCATGAACTTCAAAGAGATAAAAGAAAAAGGGATGAAGAAAAATGAATAGAACCCAGGGAACCTAAGGGACATCATTCGGTAGAACAACGTACAGAATATGAGAAGCGAAGAGAAGACAGAAAAATATTTGAAGAAAAATGGCTGAAAATGCCTCAGATTGAAGATATGAACCTACACAGCCAAGGAACTCAACAAACTCCAAGAAGGACGAACTCAAAGAGATCCGCCAGAGACACAGAATAATCAAACTGTTGAAAGTTGAACAGAAACTCTTGAAAGCAGTGACATTTTTCATCAGAAGCCTTGCAGGCCAGGAGGTCGTGAGATGATGATAACACGCTAATAGGAAAAAAGTCAACCAAGAATTCTATATCTGGCTGGAAACTATTCCTCTAAAGTAAAGAAGAAAGTGAGACATTTCCAGGTAAACAAAAGCTGATGTTCGCTGGTAGAAAATCTTCCTGACAAGAAATGATAAAAAGAATTGTTCAGGCTAAAACAAGGACTTGAGATAGTACTTAAGGTCATACAAAGAAATTATGATCCTTGGTCAAGGCAAATACATAGGTAAACATAAATGCTAATATTGTGGAGTGCTTATAACTTCTCTTTTTGTTCCCTATGTGAGTAAAAGACATATGCATAAATCAAGAATGTTATGTTAATGGGCAAGAAATGTGTAATGTGTGACCAAAACAACAAAAGAGAAGGGGAAAAGAGCTGAACAGGAGCAAAGTTAATGGACGCTCCTGAAATGAAGTTGGTATGAATTTAAACTAGGCTGCTATAGATTTAGGATGTTAAAAATCCCCTTGGTAACCACTAAAAAAATATACAGCAGAGAACAGGAAGGAATCAAAAGGGTAGACAACAAAAAATTCAAGCGAATGTAAGAGAAGGACATAGCGGGGGGTGGGTATTGCTGAGAAACAAGAAGACAGGACAGGTGCAGATGTGGAGAAATGGGACCCTCGCGCACTGTGGGAGGGGAGGCGGGCTGGTGCCGCCGCCGCGGGAAGCCATGTGGACCTGCCCTATGACCCAGTGATTCCACTTCTGGGAATTTACCCAAAGGAACCCAAAACACTCCTTTGAAAGGATATATGCACCCTGATGTTCACTGCAACCCTGTGTTCATCTTATGTATAATAGCCAAGATTTGGAAGTAGCCTAAGTGCCCATTAGTAGAGGAGTGGATAAAAAAAAAAAATCTGTGGTAAAGGTACACAATGCAATAGTACTCAGCTGTAAAACAAGGACATCCTACCATCTGCAACGGTGTAGGAAACAGCCAGCTAAGTGAGATAAGCCAGTCAGAGAAATCCAAGAAGCACATGATTCCACTTCTATGTGAAATCTAATGAACAAAATAAACCAACACACTATACAGAAGCAGACTGACAGCTGTCGGAGGGGAGGGAGGTTGGGGCGCAGGGTGAAAAAGGTGAAGGGACTGAGCAAAGAAAGAAGCCCCACAGACGCAGACAACAGTATGGTGATTACCACAGTTAGGGGGCGAGGGAGGTAGACCAGGGTAAAGGGGGGATAAATGGTGAGGGAAGGAGACTTGACTTGGGGTGGTGAACACACGATATTATATATGGATGATATAGAATTGTACACCCACAACCTATACAATTTTATTAACCAATGTCACCCCAATAAATTCAATAAAAATTAAATAAAATGAAAAAGGGCATAATGCAATGATTAATAAATAATAATAATACAAGGAAAAACAGGCTAAAGATAAACCCGTGACTAACACCACCAGTGAAGAGGGGGTGTAGAGAAAAGAAGTTCTGCGCAGACCTCTGCACGGGCCTCCTCTGAACCGAGGAGGTTCAGGAAAAATCCCTGATGTCTCGGGCATGGCCTGTGTCCTAATTTTTGGTCTAGAAAATAAGGTCATTACAAACATACCTAAGAACTGAACTACATTCACAGGAAGAACATACCTACAGTTAAAAAAAAAAAAAGAAAGACCTATTTATATAGGTCACTCTTCCGAGAGAAGAAACTGAGGTGGTGACAGGCAGCACACACAGGTTGCTAAGCTACTGGATAAATAAAATAAGATGGGGCATCTACCCATGTGGAAATGCAGGCTTTCACAACTGTGCCTTAGAATGATGCAACCTTCATTAGTTACCATAGCGATGAGCTTCATTTCCCAGGGGACCATTGTTATTTTTGCTACCACCGAAGTAACTGGTGGTGGGGGCAGGGGGCAAGGGGGCTGCATAATAAGTCCTGTTGTGTTTGGAAGACCCTCGATTTTCAGGGAATACTTTTCTAATGGATCACATATTTTAACCTCGATGCAAGCAGAAGACGGTCTCCAACGAGCCGCAAACTTGGCAGGCAAACTTTGAGCAAGGGGATGTCAATGTCTTTTTGTGGTTTTTACAGTGACTTGTTTCAAGGGGGAAACAGGCCTCTAATGCAGAGAATGTTGCAGAAATTCTTGGAAAACATACTTGAAAGATGAGAGACTTTTTAAAAACCTTCTCTATGATAATTTGTAATAAGAACAAACTGCCGGATTCTCATTACATGCATTGGCATCACCCGGAGTAAATAAACTAAACCTAATCGTCTACAAAACGCTGTATCTCTGTATTGAGAGCTTCTCCACGGACAGCAGGAGGCTGCTGGGTGGCGTGAAGTGAGACCCCAGGGCTCCAGCTGGGCACCGTCCAGCTGCCATGAGGCTCTGCCAGGCA